TCTCTCCTTTCCGACGTGGAAAGATTTAATTTGTGTAGGATTTTATCTAGGCACGTGACCAAGAAAACATTTTAAAAAAAAGGAATCGGTCGACGAAAAAGAAAATTAAGAACGCCACCGGTCATTAACAGCAACCCCGAAATAAGCCAGAAGAGGGTTTCCACCCCCGCGGATGCGGAACGATCCGCGGATCGATACTCTTTTATCCGGGTTATTTTAAAAATTTGATGGAGAGATATTACAAACCTTAACCTGCCGCATAAATCAATAACGACGCTTATACGAGCGAGTAATGAAAAGGTGGCAAACAAGGTGCAAAAAAAAGTAAAACGTCAAAAACATCTGTATCGTCACCTGTCCTGTAGAAACGGCTATTTAATCTAGAATATTTGGGTTAGGCAAAAAATATTCCCGTTTAATTTCCATTCTTGTTACGAAATTCTTACAAAAGAAGAGTCGAAGACGATCGAAAGGTGACGAATGGCGATTTTTGCCATTTTTAACGTTTACTCGCTCCAACCTTCCACTTTCTCTCTCTTTAATAACAAACTTTCCATTAGTTTACGCGCATTTTCTTCATTCTCCATTCCGTGTATTTTATTATTATAATATTCTACCTTGGCGCAGGAGGAAAAAAAGAATTAACTTTTGATAGTTTGATACGCATTCATATTTTACATTGTTTTCCCTTAATTACGCGTCATAAAAATTTCAAAACTAGAATAATTTACTCACGAAATCGAATCTACAAGCCGGTCACGTGGTCGTCGACACAGACGAGAGGCGGTTTTTGCCCGGACGAGGCTAGAATATTCGAATTTTCCAATGGTATTAATGGCCCGGTCATCGGAGGACACCCGCGGCGCTCAACGGTCACGCGATTATTAATTACCAATAAGAGACGACGTCGTCGATTACGAATATTTAAATCCCGTCGAGGAATTCCGGCTATAAATCGGCGGGAATAAAATCGATATAGGTTTTTAGCGTAGGCAGACGGGCAAATATTTACGGGAGAGGCCATCTCTTTTACGCTATTAAGAAGGGGAGGCAAGGGCGGCCCGCGTAAACTGATTTGTCTTCCGTCGGGCAAACAAACGAACAGATGGCGAGTAGACCAAAACGCGTCCGTTGGACAACCGAAGGTTCCAGATGTCGACGGCCACGTGACGGTGAAACATCGCACTCTCATCCGACAACAGAAAGAAAACGAATTGGGAGAAGAGAATAGAGGGGGGACCACTCTCTTTTTTCCCCTCCGAGTGACGGGTACGGCAGCGTTGCCAGTCCGTGTCGTAGTAGAGAACGTTGGAAACTTAGCGTCGCTGTCATTTATTCATCAGGCACCGGCGGACTTTTGCATGCATAGCAGCTGGCATACTTCCATCGAAACGCAGCAGATGGTAAAGTGTTGCCATCGGTGCCGTGTCGCCGGTACCCGATTCCAATAATCCTAAACGTGCCCACTCGACAATAATACATCTCCGACTGGTACACTCCGGATCCCTACCCACTCGCCAATTACCGTCGAGCGATACCTTCTCCCGAAAATACCTGGCGTTTTAAAGGCAGGAGAGAAGACGTTACGCGGCTTCTGGGGGAGGGGAGGGAAAAAAGTCAGAAAATAACCTACCTAACTCCCCGATAATTTATCCATTATTCACAGTCGTGTCGTTCAGGTGAGTAAATTATTCAGGACGGTGACCCTCCCTTAATGAGTTTTCCATCTCCGCAAATTCGAAAAGGCATTTCAATTTTCTAGATTTGTAATTGTCAGATGGTACCATATGCCATAATCTGCATACGGTGTAAATCACAATTTGAAACATCTGACATCTTACCGAGATTTATGTCCGAAACGGTGGAAATAATAATAATAATAATAATTTTCGCCAACCGGTTTAAAAAAGCTGTCTTTTTGCACTTTTAATATCCTATATTTATTTTTTTCTTGTAAGTTTGTTCCGCCTTTGCCCTCTAATTAACGTACACGGTTTCCAAACGGCATTTGGACCACTCACGCCTCCATTAACATATAATGTGGGTTGTGCCCCCTTCTTTTATCTGTTAGCGATTCGAACCACCCGGTAGATGGGCACCGGAGGTTCGAATCTCGTTTGGAAAAGGAAATGGCCAGTCTCCGGCGGGGACCGGCATCCGATCATCCTTCTAATTAATCGAGGGGTGCCAGGCGGGGGACGAAAAAGAGGCGAAAATGGCCGAGTGGAAGCGCGACGAGGGGCGAAGTTGTCGGTCCGAGACGATTTTGCTCGGGTCGTTATATCTGTGGGAACTTATGACGCCCAGAACAGGCTGTCTAACAAGCGAACGGGGGAGGGCGATTGATTAGATCTTGCAAGTAATCCATATCCTATTTCTCTCTTTCTATTTCCTCTGCCGTCTGCTCCGGTCACACAGCACCATTGACAAACGACCGTCTCCGGCACGTAAAACGGTATTTTTAAGAATGCCATGAATATTTACGGCCGGCCAAGCAGCCCTTCTTACTCGACTCCCGACTTTCTACCGAAAAAAGGAGGGCGCGCAACTCCGTCCGACTTTCGTCGCCGGTCCGGCCCCAGTTCCCCGGGCGTCGTTTCGCGCCTTTTTTTCGGTGGCGCGCGCGGACCGACCCGTAACGGTTCCCTTCCGTTGCTTGGTTACCGGCCCGACCAAACACTACTCTTGCTCGATACGTCACGTGACCGACGCACCATCAAAATTAATGACATCGATTACATGGTTAATTTCTTCGCGATTTCTTTTCCTAACGATGTCTCGTTGCCAATGAAGCCGATAAAACGATTACCTGTTTTATTCGTTTTTTTCCCTCCTTCTTAATTCGTACAAATTTATTTACAAAGGGGGCTTAAGACCAACGCGATTACTCTGGGAAACGATCGAATTTTCTCGTTAAAACCGGCGTCCTTCCACCCCTTTGGCCTCCCCGACCGCGGACGTTTTTGCCACTCGGTGGGGTTGCCCGCGGGCCAAGCCACCCTTATGGGCTGCCGCCGCCCCCGCGAATTAAGGAAAAAAAAAGAGGCGCGCCTCGTGGGGTGTGGGAGTCGGTGGCAGAGGGAGCAGTTAGTAGACGCTCCCCGCCGAGATAGTTAGGAAAAGCAAGTGGAGGTAATGAGCGAGTCGTCGCGGCCCGGCCAGTGTTTGGAGTTGCAAGTCCAATTACCATCTTACCCTTCGGTCTTAATTACCGAAGTTTTCAACAGCAGTACAAATAAAATGGTTCGTTTCTTTCGTAATCTCCTAATGGAAGCGATTTCGCTCGTCTTAACTGCTCCGGGCCAGAATTACTTTCCAAGGATTTTTTCCCTTTATCGAATTCTCTCTCCCTTCCAAAGAGGGAGTCGCTTCTTTCTAGATGCGCTTCTCGCGCTTATTAACGTCGCTTAAATTCCCTTTCTTCGCCGGATAAACTTATAAACTGGCCCACCTACACCTTTATATATATATCCCGGCGGCGCGGCGGCCGGGAGAATTAGCTGATTGGAAACTGGGTTGAAGTCGCGCAGTTACCGGCCGGGGAGTCGGTTCATGGCACATTAACCTCCAAACGTTCCTCGAGACATTTGGCTCAGGTGGAAGAAAATCCTTTTCTGCTTTCTAAATTTGCTCCGTAATATTTCTAAGGCGCTTACGTCCACCTCCTTACACAAAGAACCATTAGCATTCGCATGTTTAACACGCTGCGAATTTCCGACCGGGTCTGCAGTCTACTTATTTAAATCGGCCCGAGTGCAAATTTACGAGCTGGCCTTTTATATTTACCGAATTTTCCCAGTAATTTTCGCGCCGGGCTCGGGTATCTCGCAGTCGTCTTCGGAAACGGCCACCGGCTGGGGTGACTCTCTTCCGACCCGGAAACTCCCCACGCGGGGTGGAGGCCGACCGGTCGTAATAAATTTTAAAATAATTATCGTCGTAATTTGGATTTCTTATCTGTTTAGAGATTGGAAGTTTATTCGGTCTGGTTTTATTTTAATGATTCCGGCGATGGTAAACACTTAGGCGGGAAGGAGCGTGCAGGTGCTAAGCAGCGAATCTGTACCCACAAGGGAATTACATCTTGTCGAGACGTAATATTAATCAAAAGTAAATGTGTTGTGAGAGAAAGAGAAGGGAACGGAGAGAGGGTCCGCTTCTCTGCGGCCTGGCATGCGATTAAACACCCGCCCGCCACCCTCTAAATTTGGTTAAACGGCGCACTTCTTCGCTCCCCTTTCCGCGAGCCACGCGATATTTTAAGGAAAGTCGAAGGTCGCTCGGGCCTACCGGTGCCACCGACCGAACGTGTTTCGTCGGGGGTGTAAGAGATGAAATACTAGAAACGGAAGAAATCGTATGTTCCCTCCCGCAAATAGACGAACGAAACGAAGGTCGGTCGAGCGTGTGACGAAACAAATACAATATTCGGATACTAAACAATACGGACGAAATTTTGAATCTCTAGGGACAAGAAAGTAATTGCAGTGTTTCGGCTTAAGGTAGGCCCAAATTAAACCGCCTTAAAAGTTGCTAGAAATTCATCGGGCTGTAATGTGAAAAGGTAAACGATGCTCTATAGCTTATTGTGACATTGGGGAAAACGATTAGGAGATTTAGCGGTATAAGAGAGAGTATAAGAGCGGTATAAGAGAGGTAAAAGTCCCGCTAGGAAAAAAACTCCCGAGAAAAATATTGTTTTTTAATCTTTCGCCACGCTCCAGAAATAAGTAACGATATTTAGCCAGCCCGACGGAGGTAGGGACGTTGACAGTCGGCGATTAACCGAGTTACGTGACGAGAGAAGAATTGTCGGTCACGTGACCCGAGCGGCCCTTCCGGTGGAACCCTTTCTTAACCGCATTTTACGCATGTACTGCACGTAAGAAGGTTTGGGACGTGGACGTTTTGAAAATGCGTCTTAATCCGGGGCGGAATTAAAATTTTACGTTTTAGGTGGCAGACGGCCGCTAAGTGCGTAACTAATTTTACTTTTGCAGATTATTCGGACGGCGTAAGAATGCCAGATTCGCCGGATTGCAATGTCAAACCAGCACCGGTATCGACTTCGGCCAGTATGGCGTCGTCGGTGACTAATCACAAGATGACCAACGTCCAAGGTAGGAGGACGTCGCTTCTTTGGACCGTCGTTTAATGTTGTTCGCTTAATTATTAATTAGCATAAATTGTCTAAAAATTTAATTAAGACGGAGGTTAATTAAATCTCGATTCACACTAACGATTAACTAAAAGGGTAGGCGTACGTTAAACCCGGTTTTCATAAATTAACTTAATTTGGCAGAGATAAACGAAGGTCGAGTTAAAACTAAAATTTACCGTTGCGCGTGGTGGTAAAATTACCGCATTGGTAGGTTATACCCAATTTTCTTTGTAAGAAAAAAAGAAAGCATTTGTAAGGGAGTTGGGAAAAGTATGCGGAAGAATAAGTTTGGCTATTGTTCTTTCAGGTATGAATGGAACTCATTCTCCGCACACGACGTCGTCGACGGAGACCCCATCTCCACCGGCTACAAGCCAACCAAATATGTCAACCAACTCCATACCTACAGCCGAGTTGCCGCTCGGTTGCACTATCCGTCAGCTGGGAAAGTTGAAACGGTTCCTAACAACACTCCAACAGTTCGGAAGTGACATATCACCAGATGTTGGAGAGAGAGTGCACAATCTCATATTGGGGCTTGTGGTGAGTGCTTTTCTCTCGCCTTTTCCTTCTTATTCTTTTCTGCTTACTAATGCTCCCTTAATTACACGTTCCGACTAGTTAATATTTCCTATTATCTTAATTTGAAATCCGAATCGTTCTACAAATATTTTAAATATCCGAAAACTCGATTTAAACGTATTTCGCGTATTAGAGGATGCGACAGAGTCGAGTCCCTAGCGTAAATCCCCGATTAAGGAAAAAAATCTGTTACAGAGTTCGTCACTGACAATAGAAGAATTTCATCAAAAAGTGCAAGACGTGACTAACTACCCGCTGAGACCCTTCGTGGTACCTTTCCTAAAGGTAATTTTCGGCTTAACGACACTTTGGAGAGCGCGCGTAATGGCGAGAACGAACTTGACCGTGTCTTATTTCTAAAATCTGCAGTCTCACTTACCTTTGCTTCAAACCGAACTGATTCATTTTGCTCGACTGGCCAAACAAACACCTCAGCAATATCTCCGTCAACACGAGCAACTAGTCATCGATTCCACTCTTCATAACGGAGGAGAACCATTCGAAATTTTTCAAGCGGATACCAAGGAAAACGGAAAACGAAGAACACCACCCGACACGTGAGTTCTTTTCCTACGTCTAAATATATATAAATTCAAAATTAATATTCAAAACCCGTTGTACCCACCATTTGAGTTGTAATTAATTCATCCTTACCAATCTAATGTTTTAAAAAATGGAATACTTCGACGTATTTATAAATATTTTCCGAGATAAACGATTAATAAACTTGTTCCTGCAAGATAAATACCGGACACGAAATAAGATATAAAAATCAATTGTGTTGTTAAAGTACACAATTTCCCAAATCCTTTAATTTCTCCTCCCTTCCACTCCAGACAGAATATGTGGAAAAAATTAAGGGATTTCCATATAATTTCTTTTCCATGTTTTATTTACCACTGGTAGAAATTTTTGAAAACATATTTATTCCCTTTTTTCCTTAGCATTTATCTGAATGAAAATAAGTTTGAATGTTTTATTAAATATATCTAAAATGGAATCAATTGTTGCAAAAGTTTGTAATCTTTAATGGAATCATGCCAAAGATGGAGAAGGATGAGAGGAGGAAAAAAAGACAGAAAATTGCTACAAGTGGTATATATATTTTCTTAAAAGATTTGGTTTGTGTTACATTTATGTAATTTTTAAATGTTTTTTGAGTCTGGGACATGTGGATGTGGGAGATAAAGTTTAACCTTGGCAGATTTGTGGAAGTGGTGAAGGACAAATGGATTGAAAGCTTATCTCTCTTCCTATCTAAGTCATATTAAAAATTTGGGGATCTAACTGTGTTTTTTTATAACATTTGTGCTTTAGCCATTTAATTTACTTTTGCCCTTTATTAATAGTTTTTTCTGATTTTTTAATGTAAACTTATATTAAATCTTTTAATTTTTATATTCAGAGTAATGATTATTAATATTAATTATAAATTAATTTTATGCTAAGGTAAAATTTATTTATATGCAAAAAATATAAAATAGAATAATTCTCTGTACTCTCTAAATTGCACATCTGTTTTTCAATAAACAGATGTGTGCATCCGTTGTTCGCTTTCTGGAAACGCTTATTGTCGTATTTTGGAACGATGAATATTTTATCCCAATGCATAACGTATCTGTTCTTTAAAAATTTACCGAATTTACTTATTTGAGGCAGAATGCCATTCCGCTGCCAGCATTCTGATCCGTCGCCCCTCTCCGGGTCACCCCGCGTGGTGCGACGGATGACGTTACCGGCTAAGTTAAACGGGAAGAGTTTCTCTTTTTATGTAAGTTTTCCTACTGGATTTACTCCAGAAGTTTTTCTGACAGGTTGTTAATCTAACAATATTCAGTAAAAGAATGATGCTAATACAAGACAAAAATTTCCAGGTGCCCTAAGTCATCTGGCCTGTATCACCTTGAAAAGGACTGGTTATTTTATGTGCTCTTTCTTTGTGGGGGTAACGTTTGTTACATTTGGTAGCAACAACATTCATGCAATTAAGTTAATGCACTGCAGTTGGAATATTTGAACATTACAGGCAATTTAGAAAATTTACAGGTTCTATACAGACAGGATACATCAAAACAAACTAAACATTATGTATGGAACTTTCACTTGTTTTAAGCTTTTTAGATTTACCGTGTATTTAAATTGTTGGAGAGAAATTGGAAGAATACTTTTTTCTTTTTTTACTTTTTTATTTCACACTGATCCAGTTATTGTTGCATGGCTAAAGCATCTACTCCGAGTAATCTGTCATTTCTTGAAGAACAAAATGTTTGATGCTTTTTCTCTGGCAGAATTCCAATTACTTTCTCCCAAAGCTTGCCACAAATTTTTAGGTGACTGCTATTTTGTATTTTCCACATCATTATTCATACATGCCAAAATTTGTTTACATGATATTAAAATTGAGGAAAGTATAAAATTTTAAATTATTGAACAGATGGTAATAAGTGCCATTTAACAAGTGTAAGATCTACTTAATGGAAATGTCTAATTAAACTTTGTTAGCATTTCTATAATCGCAAAGAGAAAAACGGCCAATACAAAAGACGTCGAGCGTGAAATGTCGCGGGCCGGGGTTCCACGTTATTGTTTTTTCGATCGGAGGACTTTACTGTGAGAAACATTCGGCCACTTATTTTAATGATTTCTTCAAACTATGATTATTAATGTGTTTCAATAATTTAATATTTTTCTTTTGCAAAGTCTCAATTAAAAATTGTGATCGTTTCTTTATCCAAGACAATTTTTTTTTTTATCAAACAGGCGGAGTCGTGAGAATGGCTACTCGGACGGTGGAGGAGACGGACCGCCTCCAGCCAAGAGACACCAGCCTCTACCCAGTCCAACGCTAGGATCGAGAATGAGTCCTGCAGCCGGTCCCAACCACGGACCAGTTGGAATGAGCTTCCGTTTCGACGACCCGTCCGTCGTGTACAGAGAGAGGGAAAGGGATCGTTACGAACGTTATGAACGTTATGAGCGTGAGTTGTATAGACCATATTATGGTTAGTTTGCACGGTTTCTTTTTCCCCCTTTTTAACATCTGTCAATAATAGGTATATATTAATAATATTTTTCTGAATATTTAAAAAAAATCAAATTTCTGTTATTTTTTGCTTTACTCTCAAGTGTTTCATTTTTTTTTTGTGGTATTTTGTAATTTTTCTTTTTCAATCTACTTTGTATAAGTAATAAATTGTTCATTCAGATTAAAAAGATTAACTGCACTGCATGAATTTCTCTATTTGCACTTACCTTTATTAATTCTATTGTGTGTTTAACTTAATATAAAAGAACATTTTAAATTTATTTTTATAAATATTTAAGATTACATTAATTACTAGTATATATTTAAATTGTTCTGAGTGAAAAATTAAACAAACTATAATAAACAATAGAATTGAATGCATGTAAATTAATACTTTATCAAAATTGTAAGTGTATTAATGTTTAAGATTATTTATAACTAAAAATAAAAAATTTATTAGTAAAATTTTATTTATATAATATCAAAAGTTTAAGTATTTTAATAAAGCCAAATTTTATAGAAAAACAAAATTCAAGCATTAGAAATCATTTATAAATGTATGTGTGTATGTAATATGCATATATATATATACACACACACACACACATCGAACATATATAAAATATATATTATAAATGTATATAACAGAAATTAATGCTAATTTAAAATTCTGTTATATAAATTTTATAAATTTAGATTTTTCATATTTATTATATTTTAGTAGAAGAAAAGCAATGATAAGATTTTAATCATAGAACAAAGTTCACAAAAAAAAAATATTTTAAGACAATAAATTTATATTTTAAACCTTAAAAGTCAAACTTCTGAGAGAAAAATCAATTTATTCCTGTAATATTATGAATATTTAATTTAACTCATTATTTCCTTTATTTTTTTTCTTTTGTTTTAAATATAAACAGATTTATTTTTTCAAAAAAGTAAGAAAAAAATGTATACATTGACAACTAGGAGATTCTTAACATGCATCTTTCTCAAAACATGCAAGTTGTGATGACTAATCTTGCATTGTTCTGCATAATATCGTAAACAATAACTTTGCATTTTGTTCTGTGAGCAATTTGTTCTCATAACCTTAATATTCATTAATTAACTGTTAATTATTATCATTTAATTATATTATAATAATCATTAATATTCAAGTATTTATTCTTGTTCACTTTTACTTTTTTGTACAGAAACATAAATCAGCACGTATCATTATAATATTACGATAAAATACAGTTACTTTTTAATCATTTGACTTGATTATCTCAAAATGTTTTTAATTTTACTATTTTATTTCAAAGAACAGTTCTAAAATATTATCATTACATAATATTTTATTTATTTAAATAATAAAATATTTAAAGATTCTTTAGTCACAATGCTTCAATTATTGAAGCATTGTGACTAATATAGGCATTGTGACATATAGAGAAAGATATATATTACCACCCCTCAAAGCTGTTAAAGCAATGTTCTATTATTACTTATATGCAAATGTTTAGCTACATATATTTGCACATATTGATAAATTATATAATCAAACTAGGAAGACGTACAGTGAATTATCATTTAATTAGGTGAAAAAATTAAATTTTCATTATAAAACTATTAAGACATTATCATATACTCAGTGATTTTCAAATCTTTTATATAATATGGATGTTTCTTTAACATATCATCATTAGATTATGTAAATAATAATATTTGTATTTTTCATATAGGTACTTTACATAGAGACTATAATGAGGAGAGGGATATGGAAGATGAATGGAAAAATATTCACACAGTAAGAATTAATTTGTTAAAATATATTACTTATGTTTTGATATATATTGTGTTAAATACTGTCTTTCTGACATTTATTTTGTTCTTTCTTCATCTTATTTAATTATTTACTGAATAGTAAGATATTTGGAAAAAAATATTAAAATAAAGTTTTAAATAAATCAAATTTCTATAAAATTATATCAATTTATTATTTTTTCATAAACAATATTCAAATAAATTAATTTTATAAATATTTATTTAAAAATTTAAATTTTTTAAAAATTTTAAAGAACGAAAAATGTTTATGCTCATTAGAGCAGAGAAAAATATAAAGTAAATGTTTTTTTAAAAGGTAAACCATGAGCTTAATAGTTTCATTAAATCTGATACAATTAAAATGGCGAATCATAAAGCCTGGATGAATCTAGTTTAAGTAAATACTAAACAAATAAATCGTGAAAGAATTTTGATAAAATTCTGAATTTTAATTAAATTCAAAAAACAAAATTGAATAGTTTCTCCAAAGATGGTCAACAATGACCAAAAATCTTCTCGTTAATTAAAATCTGTATAGAGACAAAAGAATTGAGGTAAATTTCGTATTAAGCTCGATAAAACACTTCATTAGTTTAAAAGCAAACATCTTCCATTAATGTAAATTAACCAATATTTAAATGCCTATTTATCATGCGGATGATTTCTTCATTATAAAGATATTATTATAAAATTTTAAAAATTAATACAAAACTTTTATTATATTCGTAATTAAAAATTTCTTGTAATTTGTAACTGTAGTATTGGCCCACTTTTGAGACTATTAATTGATTTTTAGGAAAAAACTAAATTTTCTCAAACTGACTTACAATAATGCAGTATTTATATTTATAAGTTTTTAGATAACACTTCAACTTTAAAACATGCTGTATATTTAATGACTAATTGTAACAATTGGAATTTGGAAATCTTTGCATTGCAAAGCTAGGATTATAAAAGGTGTAGGTTTTTCATCTTACGAATCAGAAAAAAAGGATGATAATTTGCAATTAAACTGTCTCCGTGATTCATTTCTAACTATTTTTTTTTACATATAAATAATAAATGATACATCTATTCATCTATAATGAATTTTTAATTTAAAAGTCACATTGGCAAGATTGATTGTTAATTTATTATATAAAAAAATTATCTTTGGAAACTCATACAATTTATAATTATTAATTTTTTTTCTTACCAAATGTACTAAAATATGAGTTTCAGATCTATTGTATGATTTTTAAATTATAAGTTTTTTTGGTGCATTTTTAATTACATTGTGATCAATATTTTGTATTAGATTAGTAAATTAAAAAAAAATGAGATTTTTACACAAACTTTCTTGAAGTAAACTATAATTAAATTTTGAATGTATGATTAAGACTTTGCTAGTTAATTCTGCAGCTTTTGTGGTAAGAAATAATTTTCATTAGTCAAAATAATTTCTATTGTAATTAATAAACTGTTTACCATGGTGTTTTCAAGACATGTTCTCACATTACAAAACTTTACAGTGTTAGATTACAATTAGCTAACTTCACATATATAAAAGTATAAATGATGATATAAATATATCATCCATTATATAACTGTAATTATCATATTTATTTTTTCTTTTGAGCTTTTAGTTGATTTTGATGATAATTTTCACAAGAAAAGAAATGATTTGAAGAATATACTTAATGAAATAGTATATTAGTTACTGTATGTTTATATATGTATATGCAAACCCAAACCAGTACTGGCAAAAAAACTGGTTTTTGTGAAACCACAATTTTAGCAAAACCTGAAAACTGGTTTAGACCTTGCATAAAATCAGTATCATTGTGTTGATTATTTTTACTTTTAGTTGATGCTTGTGATTTAAGATAATTTTGCATAAATGATGCTCTACCAGAAAATTTCATTATAATGTTACAACTTGTACACTCGGGGCTGTAACAACCCTTAGCTAGACCCCTAGGATTTCAGGTATTTTGGCCCCCTCTGGCACTTCAATCTTCCCTCCCACTACTGTTGACAGCATGATATTGGTACAGTGGGTGCTAGACCACAGTACAGAATGCTACTTCTGTATATTTTTATAAAACAGTATTAATATTTTTTTATGTATCTTCTTGAGCTATGGATTTTCCATTTTCAGGGCACTAGGCACATACCTAGTGTTCCCAACTGTTAAAATGGCCCCTTATGCACATCATCCATCCAGAACATTTTTAAAATAATGCCAAGTATCATTCACATTTAAATTTGAAAATTAAAATTAATGTGAAAACTAGTAAATTAATTAGTGTGAATTAATTTTAAAATGATAAGTTTTTAAATATTGATACTATTTGTTAAATACTTAGATTCCAGCATTTACCAGCTTCAAAGAAATGCTGACCTTTCTGGTAGGAGTAATACATGTTACATATATATTCATGAATCATGGCTAATATTTACTGTGGTGCTTCATTAATTTTAACTATAAAATATTTAGTTATTATTGATTTTAAAAAAATTCAATAACAAAACATTAACGCTACTGAATTTATTAAAAGAAGTGTGAAACCAGTTAGGCATACAACATTCAAAACCAGCTAACTGATTTCAAGAATTTCTGGTTTTTACTATTAATAAATCAAACTACTTTTATTTCAGAAAGCTAACATTTTTTATTAAACAAAAGAAATGTTTTCAGTCAAATATTTGACCATTTTTAGCTTATAAACATTTATTTAACAGTTAAGCATGATATAGAACTATAGCAACATATAGAACATATAAATTATACATATGTATAATATTCCTGTTTCTATTATGTAGAAATTACAATCTTCATTCTCTTAATGGCTTATATATAAGTTCAAATGCTTAATTTTTAAATAAAAATTATTTCAAAAACAAATTCATTTATTGTTTTAATTCTCAAAACATAAATACTTTTTAATTAAACTCCAGAATCAACTTATTTATGAGACAATGTTTTTAATAAAATTTATTTGGACAATTCCAAATTTTATTTTGAATTATTCTATGATTTTCATAAGATTTTCATAAGATTTTCTCACTTAGCATTTTTTTAAAAATTATAATCACAAATCCTAATAAAATTTATTTCAGATTTTTGTTTTTATATAATGTAAATACTTCATTTTCCAAAACAGAATTAAAATTACTTAATAAGTTAATTATTCAATTTTGTTTTTTTTTTTTTTGTTAATGATCCAATGCAATATAGTTTTTATTTATAACAGAAATTAAGAATATAAATTCAAGACAATTAGCCAACTTGAAATACTTGACAGGATTGCATCATATTTGTTAAATATAAATTCGCATATCAGCATGTTTCAAAAACTGCAGGTGCATATAATATAGAATTCACTTATTAAAAGATTAAGCAATAAATTTATGAAAAATTGGATTATTAGTAAACCGAAAATCAAATAGGCGTTAGGCATTTAAACCGACTCTATTATTAATTGATTAAAACCTTTTGAACAAACATATTTTTGCACATAAAGAACTATATTATTATTTCACAACTGTCAAATAAATTCAAAACAGCAGACTAATTTTAATGATTGGTGTTTAAATTTTTCTTTTCACATTATCAGAATTATAATTTNTTTAAATCGGCCCGAGTGCAAATTTACGAGCTGGCCTTTTATATTTACCGAATTTTCCCAGTAATTTTCGCGCCGGGCTCGGGTATCTCGCAGTCGTCTTCGGAAACGGCCACCGGCTGGGGTGACTCTCTTCCGACCCGGAAACTCCCCACGCGGGGTGGAGGCCGACCGGTCGTAATAAATTTTAAAATAATTATCGTCGTAATTTGGATTTCTTATCTGTTTAGAGATTGGAAGTTTATTCGGTCTGGTTTTATTTTAATGATTCCGGCGATGGTAAACACTTAGGCGGGAAGGAGCGTGCAGGTGCTAAGCAGCGAATCTGTACCCACAAGGGAATTACATCTTGTCGAGACGTAATATTAATCAAAAGTAAATGTGTTGTGAGAGAAAGAGAAGGGAACGGAGAGAGGGTCCGCTTCTCTGCGGCCTGGCATGCGATTAAACACCCGCCCGCCACCCTCTAAATTTGGTTAAACGGCGCACTTCTTCGCTCCCCTTTCCGCGAGCCACGCGATATTTTAAGGAAAGTCGAAGGTCGCTCGGGCCTACCGGTGCCACCGACCGAACGTGTTTCGTCGGGGGTGTAAGAGATGAAATACTAGAAACGGAAGAAATCGTATGTTCCCTCCCGCAAATAGACGAACGAAACGAAGGTCGGTCGAGCGTGTGACGAAACAAATACAATATTCGGATACTAAACAATACGGACGAAATTTTGAATCTCTAGGGACAAGAAAGTAATTGCAGTGTTTCGGCTTAAGGTAGGCCCAAATTAAACCGCCTTAAAAGTTGCTAGAAATTCATCGGGCTGTAATGTGAAAAGGTAAACGATGCTCTATAGCTTATTGTGACATTGGGGAAAACGATTAGGAGATTTAGCGGTATAAGAGAGAGTATAAGAGCGGTATAAGAGAGGTAAAAGTCCCGCTAGGAAAAAAACTCCCGAGAAAAATATTGTTTTTTAATCTTTCGCCACGCTCCAGAAATAAGTAACGATATTTAGCCAGCCCGACGGAGGTAGGGACGTTGACAGTCGGCGATTAACCGAGTTACGTGACGAGAGAAGAATTGTCGGTCACGTGACCCGAGCGGCCCTTCCGGTGGAACCCTTTCTTAACCGCATTTTACGCATGTACTGCACGTAAGAAGGTTTGGGACGTGGACGTTTTGAAAATGCGTCTTAATCCGGGGCGGAATTAAAATTTTACGTTTTAGGTGGCAGACGGCCGCTAAGTGCGTAACTAATTTTACTTTTGCAGATTATTCGGACGGCGTAAGAATGCCAGATTCGCCGGATTGCAATGTCAAACCAGCACCGGTATCGACTTCGGCCAGTATGGCGTCGTCGGTGACTAATCACAAGATGACCAACGTCCAAGGTAGGAGGACGTCGCTTCTTTGGACCGTCGTTTAATGTTGTTCGCTTAATTATTAATTAGCATAAATTGTCTAAAAATTTAATTAAGACGGAGGTTAATTAAATCTCGATTCACACTAACGATTAACTAAAAGGGTAGGCGTACGTTAAACCCGGTTTTCATAAATTAACTTAATTTGGCAGAGATAAACGAAGGTCGAGTTAAAACTAAAATTTACCGTTGCGCGTGGTGGTAAAATTACCGCATTGGTAGGTTATACCCAATTTTCTTTGTAAGAAAAAAAGAAAGCATTTGTAAGGGAGTTGGGAAAAGTATGCGGAAGAATAAGTTTGGCTATTGTTCTTTCAGGTATGAATGGAACTCATTCTCCGCACACGACGTCGTCGACGGAGACCCCATCTCCACCGGCTACAAGCCAACCAAATATGTCAACCAACTCCATACCTACAGCCGAGTTGCCGCTCGGTTGCACTATCCGTCAGCTGGGAAAGTTGAAACGGTTCCTAACAACACTCCAACAGTTCGGAAGTGACATATCACCAGATGTTGGAGAGAGAGTGCACAATCTCATATTGGGGCTTGTGGTGAGTGCTTTTCTCTCGCCTTTTCCTTCTTATTCTTTTCTGCTTACTAATGCTCCCTTAATTACACGTTCCGACTAGTTAATATTTCCTATTATCTTAATTTGAAATCCGAATCGTTCTACAAATATTTTAAATATCCGAAAACTCGATTTAAACGTATTTCGCGTATTAGAGGATGCGACAGAGTCGAGTCCCTAGCGTAAATCCCCGATTAAGGAAAAAAATCTGTTACAGAGTTCGTCACTGACAATAGAAGAATTTCATCAAAAAGTGCAAGACGTGACTAACTACCCGCTGAGACCCTTCGTGGTACCTTTCCTAAAGGTAATTTTCGGCTTAACGACACTTTGGAGAGCGCGCGTAATGGCGAGAACGAACTTGACCGTGTCTTATTTCTAAAATCTGCAGTCTCACTTACCTTTGCTTCAAACCGAACTGATTCATTTTGCTCGACTGGCCAAACAAACACCTCAGCAATATCTCCGTCAACACGAGCAACTAGTCATCGATTCCACTCTTCATAACGGAGGAGAACCATTCGAAATTTTTCAAGCGGATACCAAGGAAAACGGAAAACGAAGAACACCACCCGACACGTGAGTTCTTTTCCTACGTCTAAATATATATAAATTCAAAATTAATATTCAAAACCCGTTGTACCCACCATTTGAGTTGTAATTAATTCATCCTTACCAATCTAATGTTTTAAAAAATGGAATACTTCGACGTATTTATAAATATTTTCCGAGATAAACGATTAATAAACTTGTTCCTGCAAGATAAATACCGGACACGAAATAAGATATAAAAATCAATTGTGTTGTTAAAGTACACAATTTCCCAAATCCTTTAATTTCTCCTCCCTTCCACTCCAGACAGAATATGTGGAAAAAATTAAGGGATTTCCATATAATTTCTTTTCCATGTTTTATTTACCACTGGTAGAAATTTTTGAAAACATATTTATTCCCTTTTTTCCTTAGCATTTATCTGAATGAAAATAAGTTTGAATGTTTTATTAAATATATCTAAAATGGAATCAATTGTTGCAAAAGTTTGTAATCTTTAATGGAATCATGCCAAAGATGGAGAAGGATGAGAGGAGGAAAAAAAGACAGAAAATTGCTACAAGTGGTATATATATTTTCTTAAAAGATTTGGTTTGTGTTACATTTATGTAATTTTTAAATGTTTTTTGAGTCTGGGACATGTGGATGTGGGAGATAAAGTTTAACCTTGGCAGATTTGTGGAAGTGGTGAAGGACAAATGGATTGAAAGCTTATCTCTCTTCCTATCTAAGTCATATTAAAAATTTGGGGATCTAACTGTGTTTTTTTATAACATTTGTGCTTTAGCCATTTAATTTACTTTTGCCCTTTATTAATAGTTTTTTCTGATTTTTTAATGTAAACTTATATTAAATCTTTTAATTTTTATATTCAGAGTAATGATTATTAATATTAATTATAAATTAATTTTATGCTAAGGTAAAATTTATTTATATGCAAAAAATATAAAATAGAATAATTCTCTGTACTCTCTAAATTGCACATCTGTTTTTCAATAAACAGATGTGTGCATCCGTTGTTCGCTTTCTGGAAACGCTTATTGTCGTATTTTGGAACGATGAATATTTTATCCCAATGCATAACGTATCTGTTCTTTAAAAATTTACCGAATTTACTTATTTGAGGCAGAATGCCATTCCGCTGCCAGCATTCTGATCCGTCGCCCCTCTCCGGGTCACCCCGCGTGGTGCGACGGATGACGTTACCGGCTAAGTTAAACGGGAAGAGTTTCTCTTTTTATGTAAGTTTTCCTACTGGATTTACTCCAGAAGTTTTTCTGACAGGTTGTTAATCTAACAATATTCAGTAAAAGAATGATGCTAATACAAGACAAAAATTTCCAGGTGCCCTAAGTCATCTGGCCTGTATCACCTTGAAAAGGACTGGTTATTTTATGTGCTCTTTCTTTGTGGGGGTAACGTTTGTTACATTTGGTAGCAACAACATTCATGCAATTAAGTTAATGCACTGCAGTTGGAATATTTGAACATTACAGGCAATTTAGAAAATTTACAGGTTCTATACAGACAGGATACATCAAAACAAACTAAACATTATGTATGGAACTTTCACTTGTTTTAAGCTTTTTAGATTTACCGTGTATTTAAATTGTTGGAGAGAAATTGGAAGAATACTTTTTTCTTTTTTTACTTTTTTATTTCACACTGATCCAGTTATTGTTGCATGGCTAAAGCATCTACTCCGAGTAATCTGTCATTTCTTGAAGAACAAAATGTTTGATGCTTTTTCTCTGGCAGAATTCCAATTACTTTCTCCCAAAGCTTGCCACAAATTTTTAGGTGACTGCTATTTTGTATTTTCCACATCATTATTCATACATGCCAAAATTTGTTTACATGATATTAAAATTGAGGAAAGTATAAAATTTTAAATTATTGAACAGATGGTAATAAGTGCCATTTAACAAGTGTAAGATCTACTTAATGGAAATGTCTAATTAAACTTTGTTAGCATTTCTATAATCGCAAAGAGAAAAACGGCCAATACAAAAGACGTCGAGCGTGAAATGTCGCGGGCCGGGGTTCCACGTTATTGTTTTTTCGATCGGAGGACTTTACTGTGAGAAACATTCGGCCACTTATTTTAATGATTTCTTCAAACTATGATTATTAATGTGTTTCAATAATTTAATATTTTTCTTTTGCAAAGTCTCAATTAAAAATTGTGATCGTTTCTTTATCCAAGACAATTTTTTTTTTTATCAAACAGGCGGAGTCGTGAGAATGGCTACTCGGACGGTGGAGGAGACGGACCGCCTCCAGCCAAGAGACACCAGCCTCTACCCAGTCCAACGCTAGGATCGAGAATGAGTCCTGCAGCCGGTCCCAACCACGGACCAGTTGGAATGAGCTTCCGTTTCGACGACCCGTCCGTCGTGTACAGAGAGAGGGAAAGGGATCGTTACGAACGTTATGAACGTTATGAGCGTGAGTTGTATAGACCATATTATGGTTAGTTTGCACGGTTTCTTTTTCCCCCTTTTTAACATCTGTCAATAATAGGTATATATTAATAATATTTTTCTGAATATTTAAAAAAAATCAAATTTCTGTTATTTTTTGCTTTACTCTCAAGTGTTTCATTTTTTTTTTGTGGTATTTTGTAAATTTTCTTTTTCAATCTACTTTGTATAAGTAATAAATTGTTCATTCAGATTAAAAAGATTAACTGCACTGCATGAATTTCTCTATTTGCACTTACCTTTATTAATTCTATTGTGTGTTTAACTTAATATAAAAGAACATTTTAAATTTATTTTTATAAATATTTAAGATTACATTAATTACTAGTATATATTTAAATTGTTCTGAGTGAAAAATTAAACAAACTATAATAAACAATAGAATTGAATGCATGTAAATTAATACTTTATCAAAATTGTAAGTGTATTAATGTTTAAGATTATTTATAACTAAAAATAAAAAATTTATTAGTAAAATTTTATTTATATAATATCAAAAGTTTAAGTATTTTAATAAAGCCAAATTTTATAGAAAAACAAAATTCAAGCATTAGAAATCATTTATAAATGTATGTGTGTATGTAATATGCATATATATATATACACACACACACACACATCGAACATATATAAAATATATATTATAAATGTATATAACAGAAATTAATGCTAATTTAAAATTCTGTTATATAAATTTTATAAATTTAGATTTTTCATATTTATTATATTTTAGTAGAAGAAAAGCAATGATAAGATTTTAATCATAGAACAAAGTTCACAAAAAAAAAATATTTTAAGACAATAAATTTATATTTTAAACCTTAAAAGTCAAACTTCTGAGAGAAAAATCAATTTATTCCTGTAATATTATGAATATTTAATTTAACTCATTATTTCCTTTATTTTTTTTCTTTTGTTTTAAATATAAACAGATTTATTTTTTCAAAAAAGTAAGAAAAAAATGTATACATTGACAACTAGGAGATTCTTAACATGCATCTTTCTCAAAACATGCAAGTTGTGATGACTAATCTTGCATTGTTCTGCATAATATCGTAAACAATAACTTTGCATTTTGTTCTGTGAGCAATTTGTTCTCATAACCTTAATATTCATTAATTAACTGTTAATTATTATCATTTAATTAGGTGAAAAAATTAAATTTTCATTATAAAACTATTAAGACATTATCATATACTCAGTGATTTTCAAATCTTTTATATAATATGGATGTTTCTTTAACATATCATCATTAGATTATGTAAATAATAATATTTGTATTTTTCATATAGGTACTTTACATAGAGACTATAATGAGGAGAGGGATATGGAAGATGAATGGAAAAATATTCACACAGTAAGAATTAATTTGTTAAAATATATTACTTATGTTTTGATATATATTGTGTTAAATACTGTCTTTCTGACATTTATTTTGTTCTTTCTTCATCTTATTTAATTATTTACTGAATAGTAAGATATTTGGAAAAAAATATTAAAATAAAGTTTTAAATAAATCAAATTTCTATAAAATTATATCAATTTATTATTTTTTCATAAACAATATTCAAATAAATTAATTTTATAAATATTTATTTAAAAATTTAAATTTTTTAAAAATTTTAAAGAACGAAAAATGTTTATGCTCATTAGAGCAGAGAAAAATATAAAGTAAATGTTTTTTTAAAAGGTAAACCATGAGCTTAATAGTTTCATTAAATCTGATACAATTAAAATGGCGAATCATAAAGCCTGGATGAATCTAGTTTAAGTAAATACTAAACAAATAAATCGTGAAAGAATTTTGATAAAATTCTGAATTTTAATTAAATTCAAAAAACAAAATTGAATAGTTTCTCCAAAGATGGTCAACAATGACCAAAAATCTTCTCGTTAATTAAAATCTGTATAGAGACAAAAGAATTGAGGTAAATTTCGTATTAAGCTCGATAAAACACTTCATTAGTTTAAAAGCAAACATCTTCCATTAATGTAAATTAACCAATATTTAAATGCCTATTTATCATGCGGATGATTTCTTCATTATAAAGATATTATTATAAAATTTTAAAAATTAATACAAAACTTTTATTATATTCGTAATTAAAAATTTCTTGTAATTTGTAACTGTAGTATTGGCCCACTTTTGAGACTATTAATTGATTTTTAGGAAAAAACTAAATTTTCTCAAACTGACTTACAATAATGCAGTATTTATATTTATAAGTTTTTAGATAACACTTCAACTTTAAAACATGCTGTATATTTAATGACTAATTGTAACAATTGGAATTTGGAAATCTTTGCATTGCAAAGCTAGGATTATAAAAGGTGTAGGTTTTTCATCTTACGAATCAGAAAAAAAGGATGATAATTTGCAATTAAACTGTCTCCGTGATTCATTTCTAACTATTTTTTTTTACATATAAATAATAAATGATACATCTATTCATCTATAATGAATTTTTAATTTAAAAGTCACATTGGCAAGATTGATTGTTAATTTATTATATAAAAAAATTATCTTTGGAAACTCATACAATTTATAATTATTAATTTTTTTTCTTACCAAATGTACTAAAATATGAGTTTCAGATCTATTGTATGATTTTTAAATTATAAGTTTTTTTGGTGCATTTTTAATTACATTGTGATCAATATTTTGTATTAGATTAGTAAATTAAAAAAAAATGAGATTTTTACACAAACTTTCTTGAAGTAAACTATAATTAAATTTTGAATGTATGATTAAGACTTTGCTAGTTAATTCTGCAGCTTTTGTGGTAAGAAATAATTTTCATTAGTCAAAATAATTTCTATTGTAATTAATAAACTGTTTACCATGGTGTTTTCAAGACATGTTCTCACATTACAAAACTTTACAGTGTTAGATTACAATTAGCTAACTTCACATATATAAAAGTATAAATGATGATATAAATATATCATCCATTATATAACTGTAATTATCATATTTATTTTTTCTTTTGAGCTTTTAGTTGATTTTGATGATAATTTTCACAAGAAAAGAAATGATTTGAAGAATATACTTAATGAAATAGTATATTAGTTACTGTATGTTTATATATGTATATGCAAACCCAAACCAGTACTGGCAAAAAAACTGGTTTTTGTGAAACCACAATTTTAGCAAAACCTGAAAACTGGTTTAGACCTTGCATAAAATCAGTATCATTGTGTTGATTATTTTTACTTTTAGTTGATGCTTGTGATTTAAGATAATTTTGCATAAATGATGCTCTACCAGAAAATTTCATTATAATGTTACAACTTGTACACTCGGGGCTGTAACAACCCTTAGCTAGACCCCTAGGATTTCAGGTATTTTGGCCCCCTCTGGCACTTCAATCTTCCCTCCCACTACTGTTGACAGCATGATATTGGTACAGTGGGTGCTAGACCACAGTACAGAATGCTACTTCTGTATATTTTTATAAAACAGTATTAATATTTTTTTATGTATCTTCTTGAGCTATGGATTTTCCATTTTCAGGGCACTAGGCACATACCTAGTGTTCCCAACTGTTAAAATGGCCCCTTATGCACATCATCCATCCAGAACATTTTTAAAATAATGCCAAGTATCATTCACATTTAAATTTGAAAATTAAAATTAATGTGAAAACTAGTAAATTAATTAGTGTGAATTAATTTTAAAATGATAAGTTTTTAAATATTGATACTATTTGTTAAATACTTAGATTCCAGCATTTACCAGCTTCAAAGAAATGCTGACCTTTCTGGTAGGAGTAATACATGTTACATATATATTCATGAATCATGGCTAATATTTACTGTGGTGCTTCATTAATTTTAACTATAAAATATTTAGTTATTATTGATTTTAAAAAAATTCAATAACAAAACATTAACGCTACTGAATTTATTAAAAGAAGTGTGAAACCAGTTAGGCATACAACATTCAAAACCAGCTAACTGATTTCAAGAATTTCTGGTTTTTACTATTAATAAATCAAACTACTTTTATTTCAGAAAGCTAACATTTTTTATTAAACAAAAGAAATGTTTTCAGTCAAATATTTGACCATTTTTAGCTTATAAACATTTATTTAACAGTTAAGCATGATATAGAACTATAGCAACATATAGAACATATAAATTATACATATGTATAATATTCCTGTTTCTATTATGTAGAAATTACAATCTTCATTCTCTTAATGGCTTATATATAAGTTCAAATGCTTAATTTTTAAATAAAAATTATTTCAAAAACAAATTCATTTATTGTTTTAATTCTCAAAACATAAATACTTTTTAATTAAACTCCAGAATCAACTTATTTATGAGACAATGTTTTTAATAAAATTTATTTGGACAATTCCAAATTTTATTTTGAATTATTCTATGATTTTCATAAGATTTTCATAAGATTTTCTCACTTAGCATTTTTTTAAAAATTATAATCACAAATCCTAATAAAATTTATTTCAGATTTTTGTTTTTATATAATGTAAATACTTCATTTTCCAAAACAGAATTAAAATTACTTAATAAGTTAATTATTCAATTTTGTTTTTTTTTTTTTTTGTTAATGATCCAATGCAATATAGTTTTTATTTATAACAGAAATTAAGAATATAAATTCAAGACAATTAGCCAACTTGAAATACTTGACAGGATTGCATCATATTTGTTAAATATAAATTCGCATATCAGCATGTTTCAAAAACTGCAGGTGCATATAATATAGAATTCACTTATTAAAAGATTAAGCAATAAATTTATGAAAAATTGGATTATTAGTAAACCGAAAATCAAATAGACGTTAGGCATTTAAACCGACTCTATTATTAATTGATTAAAACCTTTTGAACAAACATATTTTTGCACATAAAGAACTATATTATTATTTCACAACTGTCAAATAAATTCAAAACAGCAGACTAATTTTAATGATTGGTGTTTAAATTTTTCTTTTCACATTATCAGAATTATAATTTCTGTCTAGACTTATAAAAAAAAAATATTATATAGAATTCATGTAAACATCTAATAGATTTATATAATTATTTATTTTCTTTACAAATTCTTCTATATTACAAAAATTTCTTTTATTTATTTTTTTTGTTTAAATGTTTAAACTCATTATTAATGATTTAAAATAAAATTATATAAAGTAATATATTTAAGACAAAAATATAATTAAATGTAACTTTTTCTTTACTAGTTACCTGAACGGTTTGTTAATATTATATTTATATGAAAAAATATTGAAATTATCTTTGATGTAAGCACTTTCATTAACGTTACATCTTATAAATGGTTTAGCATTTCGTGATGAGTAAATTTATTAATTTTAATATATAGAGGAAGTATCTTTGTCTACTTAATATAAACATGTTTGATGATTGATTAACTATACATAAATATTAAATATATAATTTTAAATCTATAATAATCAGTGAATCAATAAACTATTGCCAATTTTTCTTTGTGCCCATTCAGTTTATAATTGTATTATGTTATTTTATATAAACTTCTAGTCCCATAAAATTTAGAGAAATTCAATGAAAAAAATTGAGATTATAATCAATAAAATTTAATTCTTACAATTTATTTTTGATTTTGAAACTAGTTAATTTCAATTATTCAAATTCTTCTAATTTATAATTTATAAATTACATGCAAATTATAAATTGATAAATTACATTCCATATGAATCTCTAAATTTACAATTTATAAATTATTTTAAATTATTTCTAGCAATGCATAGTTAACATTACAGGTGCTTTTCAAATATAATTTTCAAAATATAGGACAGTATACCATATATATGTAAAATGTATTTTACAAATGTACTTTGCAAAACTTATTCTATAAATCTAATACATGGAATATACTCCATCTGCTACTATAATTCAATAGTTTTTCTTTTTAGATTGCAAATATTATATTTTTTATGCCTCCAAAGGGTTGCTATATCTGCTAAAGCTTTTCTCACTTCTAGTAAGATTGTTCATTTGTTTAAATGTTTTTTATATTCTTCAAAAATTCTCAAATTTCACATTGATAATTAAAATTTATTATTTTAATTACAAAATTACGACTCTGGATTCTTTATTACTGTTATTTCTTAACTAAGTGCCTATTATATAATGCAAACTATTCAACTTGGACAATGTAAGCTCATAATTTTAAACACCAAAGAATTACTTATATGATAAAGTTAGTAAATTTCAACTGTTTATGTGAAGTTTGAAGGGTTTCTGTTGAAGATAAAAGATGCCAAAAATGTTTAGACAAATAAACAATCATTCAATGGTGCTTCTAGAAGTGGAAAAGCTATGTCAATTATTATAAGAAATTACACATAGTCTCTCAGTAAACTACTTTATATCCATTAAATCTTTTTTTTTATAAAATATATGCTAACACTGAAAAAAATTGATGAAATATTTTAGATGCTAAACTGCATTCTGGGCATGGTCGAAAAAACAAAACGAGCCCTGGCCATTCTCCAGCATCGGAGCCAGACGGAAAGACAAGATTACATTTCTTGGGGGAGAAGACATTTGGATGGAATGGACTTTGACATCAAAAAGAGGACAAGTGACATCATGGCTCAGTACAAAACGGCAGAAGAGAGAGTTTGTGAAGTCAGGAGACGAGCAGGTAAAGTGACATTTGAAATTTGGATTTTGATAATATTAGTACATTTAAATTTAAGAGACAAACAAAAAAATAATTATTCAAATTTTTAAAAATATTTTAATCATTATTAATTTAACAAAAGAGCTATGTTTGAATATTTATACACATGTATGTACATATCATTAATAAATCTCTGCTATTATATGAATTAAAACAGATTCTTCTTTTATAATTATAAAAATCCAAATAAAGATTTCATATCAGCAATGTTAATGTTTACTGTTTTCAGTAAATCAAAGTATATTACTGAAAACTGTTCAATATTTTAATTAAAAATAATTTAAAAACAATTTTAAATACAAGTAACCCACTTTCCTGTCAAATGTTATTGCCATGTTAAAAAGTTTTTTTCTCATGCACCAAAATTAAATTTGTAATCTAGAGAACATTCATTTATATATTGAAATCTGTTTAGAAAAATATAAGATTTTGTGTTCAGGAATATTGGATATAGAAAAATTTTAAGTCATATAATACCACACAGCAACTAGAATAATATTTAAAAACTGTCATATGATGTTGAAACATTATAAAATAAGGAATAATGAAAATATTTAAAGCTTAAATTTTAATAATTCTTGTTATATTCATCAATACTGCTTTTAAGTGATAGAAAATAGAAATCACATAAAACAAAATAAAATATATATGTATGTATGTATATATAGGATAGACTAAAGAATTTTTTTACAGATTAAATGCTGTATCAATACTATGGCAATTTATTTGAGGTTAAACCATTTGGTATTACAACAATTAATATTTTGTAATTAAATTTTACATTACAAATGATATATATCTTTGTTAAATGCCAATTTATAAACATAAAATTCTCTAACATTTTAAAGAAGTATAATATTTCATTTGTATTATATTTTAATTAAATATAATATAAACACACTCTTATAATTAAGAATAAAGAGTGCATATAATGTAGTATAATTGATCTTCTAAATTTTCAGTGTATGTAATTAGAATAAATTAAACTGAGAAAAGACATTGCAAAAAGAGAGAAAATTTGAATTTCTGAAAAGAAAGGGAATAAATGAAATATACTGCTAGAGCAAATATACAGTAAATAAAAAAATAATAAAATGTACAATCTAAAAACATTCTGAAATTATACTGTAAGCTTCTGTATTTTGGAAAGAATTCATTATCTTAAGTAATACAAATTGATCAATATAAGTATGTGTAGATAATAAGTATAATACAAGTATGCAGTATAATGGTGTCAAGTAATTTTTGTTGTAAAATAGATTTTAAAATCTTTGAAACTGTGATGCTTCATATCATTATTACTTTATTCTAAGAGTTTATGTTATAGCTACTTATTATCACACACATGATGAATTGACAAAATTGAATTTACTTTCTTTATTCTTTCTTACAATTAGATCAGATTACAACATATTCTGTAACTTTTATGCTCCCTTGTGTTGTTTCTTTTTCTTGTGATGTTAATTCATCAACAACCGATACTTTAATGCAGGGCTGCAAAGTTGGTTAAAAAAACACTCGACTCCGATTCCTGATAATTTTAGTAGGCTGATTCTGACTCCAGCAAAATTAAGTACCAAGTCATTTTATGGGGGCAGAGGCGCTCATAGGGGTTACCCTACTCTGAACTCTGAAAGGAGCCTGGGGTGTTTATCCAAATACTTTTATAGTTAGTATTTTTAATATTTAACTTACATTAATATTTATTTGTATAAAAAAATTAATTTTTAACAAATACTTAATAAGAGGAGAAAGAGGACAATAAACTTCTACATCTACATATATTCAACAACATTTGCACTTCATTTCACCTTTCCAGAAAAGTTAGTCCAACTAAAAAGTGTGTGATCTAGCTAGCAGTAGCTAGCCCTTGTTCAGAAAAGAAAAATATGTATTCTGATCAATTAGTCTGGCTCATTCTTTTCTGAATGTAAATAGAGAACTTATTTAGAGCAGGGATAATAAAGGAATCATTCAAAAATATTCAAATTCAATTGGGTCAAAATAATTTAACTATTAAACACAAATACTACAAAGAATACTTCATATTTAATAAATTAAATTGATGCATTTTGTTATTATATTTGTCAATTTGGACATAAATTATTAATAGGACTGTTAAACTGGTGTTAGGTATTAACACAAAATTGAGTAAAAGTTCTTAAAAAAAACAGAATTTCTTTATTGAGCCTCCTAAAGAAATTCTGTTTTCTTTAAGAACTTTTACTCAATTTTTCGTTAATACCTAACACCAGTTTAACAGTCCTATTAATAATTTATGTCCAAGTTGACAAATATAATAAGAATTGAAATAAGGACAATAAGGCAATAATAATGATGCATTTTGTATTTAAAATAAATAAATTATAACAAACTACAAAAAGATTTTTAAAAATTAATAAATATATAATAAATTTTCTTTCATTTAAATAAAAAACTAAAGTAAATTTAAAATGCGGGAATCCTTTAACAATGCCAAACAATCTGCTGGATTTTATTGGGCTATATTTTTTTAGCTTACTTTAATAATTAGAAGTAAAATAATTTGTCTATAGGTGGACACTTAGAGTCCCACTCTGAGCTAATTCTTTTCTTCCAAAATATTCTAAAATTTATTAATTTTGTTTTTTTGCAAGCTGCTAGGAGAGAAAACCAAACCCAATTGATTTACTGGAAACATTTTTGACTCTATATGGTCAACTTCAGCCAAAAGGTTCTTTTACAAATAATATTAATGAATGTGAGAATTCAAATAAAACTTCGATAGAACTTTTTATTTTTAAAAATTTGACTAAAAAGAATATAATATCTATAGAATTTCTCTTTTTTAAGTTTTTAAAATAGAGATTATTTTAGAGAATACAATAAATAGATGTACAAATAATCTTAATAAAAACTAAATTAAAAAATGAAAAAATATTAAGTTGACAACAATTTTATCCTTTTGATTAACCAAGAGACATCACTCTGTTGAGTACAGATTTCAACATTCATTGAAGTCAGCTGCGTAATTTGCATTTGGTATATTGAGATGCAGCTATATACTTGTTCTAAAACTCTGATTGGCAATCCTTTTTCACATTCTGTTATTAATATTGATTTTACCACAGAAATATCTCGTCATAAGCCCACCGAGTTACCGAAGTGAATATCTCCAATTATAGAGTTTTGATTGACTGAAAGTGTTCTTTAATTCTTTTAGGAAGTGACCTGGTAGTAGAACCAACTTAACAAAAATATTTGCCATGCTTCTTTAATTGCAGAGCATAAATTCTAGACTTAAAACAGAAATCCACTGTCTTTATCACTGCATAGAATATGCATTACTGTAAGTAATCTTATAATGTCAGAGTTAAAAAATATTGAATTTTCTTGTGTACTTAGGAGCTACTTAGAAACTGACTCCATAGAGTAGAAAATGTTTCCAATAAATCTATTCGTGTTTGGTTTCCTCAATTAGAGACTTTAAGAAAAAGACAGATAATAAACATGGTGCCAAGTTTTGCTTATTATAAGAAGTCTAAATTAATTTATTTCTAATTATTAAATTCTCCAGGAAATGACAGCATAACCATCTACTGTACCTCTGGATAAATTGCTTTGTTTCTAACTATTAAAGTACAGTACTCTTAAAATATAGTCTGATAAAATACGGCATATCATTTGGCAATGTCACATATTATCTATCATAAGGGTATCAAGTAAACACATATCTTCAAATAATTAAGATCCTATATGTTGCTTAACTTCAAAATTTTTAGTTAGAAATGTGTAAAAGTTATTAATATACATTTCTTGTATATAATATGATGAGTTAAGTTCCAGACCACCAAAAGGCAAAATACAGCTTTTTTTTTTACTAGACAATGCATGTAAAACCCTGACAATATATTTATACTATCGTTAATTTCATTAAGCATGCAAACATACTAACCTAAAAAATGCAAAAGTAAAAATAAAATCAATAGAAAAATCTCCAGAACTTCTAAGAGCAAGGAAAGTGCCAAAAGTAATAAACAAGAATATGATTGAATAGTGCCATAGCAAAGCACTGTAAATCAAGATATATCTGTATTTAATATAATAAAAACTGCAATAGCTAACACTATAACATTATTTTGTATATTCAGAGCATATTATCATCAATATCCTTACATTAAATAAATGCAAGGAAAATTTAATTAAACTTGAATGAAATTTAATAAACGTTTTTATCCTCATAGAAATTTGGAATCTAAAACATTATTATTACTAAGAATGAAATTTGAAATTTCAATAGTTCTTCTGCATAATGCCAGTTGATAATATTTATATTTATTTATGTATTCATTCAAAATAAGCTCAGTTTTAACATCAAAAAGCAATGTTTTAATAAAAATACATGAAACAGATAACATTAAACTATATAAAAAGCATATTCAAAATAACATAATAAATATGCTAGAAATAATCTTAATTTTGCTTTAAGAAAATATCATGTACAAGAGTGTTAATCAATCATTATTTGTTTCTTAAAAGTTTTAGTTTAATAATGCTGAATTTGGGAAAAAAGAATGAATTTTTGATAATAGAAAATATTTTTAAACCAGGAGCCAGTGTTTGATAATACTAACTGGAAAACATACCTGTAAGTGGTAGAAAATGTTAGCCTATTAAAGAATTTTCTACTATTTAAAGTTGTTTTTGAACAAAATAGTTTAAGATAAAAGTATGTTTGAATTATATGTAATGACCTATTGTAATTTTGTGTGGATAACCTGTGGGTTACCTGTGTTTGAAAGGGGATGTGCCAATTTTAAATTACAGAATATAATTTTAATACTAATTGGGCTACAGTTTGAAAAAAACTATAGAATTATAAATTCCCACTGTCATCTGTCCATCCATCTGTCTTTCCTTAATCTTGAGAACAGAGTTAAATAGACAAAATCCCAGACAAGAAATGGAAATCTTAGGGGCAG